CTGTTCTTTATCCATCAAAAATTTAAATTCAGCTTAATCCTCAAAAGGGTTGACATCAAATCTATCGACCTGTTTGTGTTAATGCACTGATGGATCACGTGTCATAACCTTAAATACGAAAAGTTCGCTCAAAATTCTCAATAATACGAATGACGAAACTCACTGAGTTTTATTAATCCAATCTCCAAGTGGGCTAACTTTTAAAATAAGATTGTCAGCGTCAAATATACAGCAAGTACATATTTTTTCAATTATACTTGTCTTTAGTTTTTTGTGCTTATCAAAAAACTGCTTCGAATTGTCTGTTTTCATTAAATAAAGACAGTTTGACAGTTAAGATTTCAAAACCTCAAATGTAAGCCGTTCTCAAGTAATTTTCATCAGATAAAAATCAGGATTTCAGCAGTCGGTCATTTATTGATCACGTGATCTATCATCAGTACATCTTTTTGTTGAATATTAGAAAACGCCTAGTTAGAAACTAAAATTGAGGTAGTGCTGTTGTGATTGTTAGGAAACTCTTAAGAAGGTATTAATTAAGTTATTTTCAATTTGAAAACATTTAAAAAATAATAAAGGTATTGTCCAAAATCTCCGATCAAATTTCAAAGTTTTTTATTTCAAGCTATCCATTTAATGCTAGTTAAAACTGTTCAAGTGTGCGATGTTACCCAACTCTTCTATTTTTGAGGAGTAAATTGGACTTTTTATGAAATATAACAATTTTTATAATCTTGTCCGCCATATTGGTCCCGCCATTTTATTTTATGAATCTGGCATTACATCCGAATTTTATTAATTTTGTCAGCCATATTGAATCCGCCATTTTGTTATTTGATAACTACAATTTCAATTTCTTTATCAGTGTCCAATTATCAAATTTTTATAAAATATAACAATTTTTATAATCTTGTCCGTCATATTGGACGTGTCATTTTTTGTTGGTCAAAATTTTAAATTCAGTTTTTAAATCAGTGGCCTCAAAAAAGTCCTATCCGAATTTTTATGAAAATATAACGATTTTTATAATTTTTTCAGCCATATTAAATCGGTCATTTTGATATTTCAAAATTATAATTTTTATTTCAAAATTAGTGACTTCGAAAAGTTCTATTTCCGACTTTTTATAAAAATATAACAATTCTTATAAATTTTTCAGCCATATTGAATCGACCATTTTGTTATTTTAAAATTCTAATTTCAGTTTCTTAATCAGTAACCTCGAAAAACCCAATATCCAAATTTTTAGGATAATGTAATAATTTTTATTATCTTGTCCGTCATATTGGATCTGCCATTTTGGTTTTCAAAATTCTCATTTCAGTTTTCAATTTAGTGACATCATATCATATCAGCCAGATTGTACCCGCCATTTTGTTATTTCATAATTTTAATTTTAGTTTCTTAATCAGTGATCTCGAAATACCCAATGTCCAAAATTTTATGATTGTGTCCGTCATATTGGACGTGCCATTCTGTTTTTCAAAATTCTCATTTCAGTTTTCAAATCAGTGACCTCATAATGTCCTGTATCTGAATTTTTATAAAAATATCACAATTTTTATAATTTTGTCAGTAATATTGAATCTGCCATTTTGTTATTTCATAATTATAATTTCAGTTTCTTAATCAGTGACTTCGAAAAGTAATATTTCCGAATTTTTATGAAAATATAATAATTTTTATAATCTTGTCCGCCATATTGGACATACCATTTTGTTTTTCAAAATTTTAATTTCAGTTAACTCAAAAAGCCCTATATCCAAATTTTTATGAAAATATAATTTTTATAATTTTGTCCCCATGTTGGATCCGCCATTTTGTTATTTCATAATTCAAATTTAAGTTTCTTAATCAGTGACCTCGAAAAGCTCTAGATCCGAATTTTTTTGAAAATATATTTTTATAATTTTGTCCGCCATGTTGAACCCGCCATTTTGTTATTTCAAAATTCTAATTTCAGTTTCTTAATGAGTTACCTCGAAAAACCCAATATTTAAATTTTTAGGATAATGTAATAATTTTTATTATCTTGTCCGTCATATTGGATCTGCCATTTTGGTTTTCAAAATTCTCATTTCAGTTTTCAATTTAGTGACATCATATCATATCAGCCATATTGTACCCGCCATTTAGTTATTTCATAATTTTAATTTTAGTTTCTTAATCAGTGATCTCGAAATACCCAATGTCCAAAATTTTATGATTGTGTCCGTCATATTGGACGTTCCATTCTGTTTTTCAAAATTCTCATTTCAGTTTTCAAATCAGTGACCTCATAATGTCCTGTATCTGAATTTTCATAAAAATATCACAATTTTTATAATTTTGTCAGCCATATTGAATCTGCCATTTTGTTATTTCATAATTATAATTTCAGTTTCTTAATCAGTGACTTCGAAAAGTAATATTTCCGAATTTTTATGAAAATATAATAATTTTTATATTCTTGTCAGCCATATTGGACATGCCATTTTGTTTTTCAAAATTCTCATTTTAGTTATTAAATCAGTGACCTCTATAAGCCCTACATCCGAATTTTTATGAAAATATAACTATTTTTTATAATTTTGTCAGCCATATTGAATCCGCAATTTTGTGATTTTAAAATTCTAAAGTTTGTTTCTTAATCAGTGATCTCAAAAAGCCCTATATCCGAATTTTTATGAAAATATAATTTTTATAATTTTGTTCACCATGTTGAATCCGCCATTTTGTTATTTCAAAATTCTAATTTCAGTTTCTTAATGAGTTACCTCGAAAAGTTCTATATCAAATTTTTTATGAAAATATAACAATTCTTGTCAGCCATATTAGATATGCCATTTTGTTTTTCAAAATTCTTATTTCAGTTGTTAAATCAGTGACCTCAAAAAAGCCCTGTATCCGAATTTTTATGAAAATATAACAATTTATAATTTTGACAGCCATATTGAATCCGCCATTTTTTTATGTTCAAATTTTAATTTTAATTTAAAAAATAGTGACTTCGAAAATCTTATTTCCGAATTTTTATACAAATATTACAATTTTTATAGATATGTACACCATATTAGATTCGCCATTTTGATTTTTCAAAATTCTAATTTCAATTTCTTAATAAGTGACTTCGAAAAGCAATAAATCCGAATTTTTATGAAAATATAACAATTTTTATAATCTTGTCCGCCATATTGGACGTGCCATTTTGTTTTTCAAAAATTCTCATTTCAATTTAGTGACATAGTTCTATATCCGAATTTTCATGAAAATATAACGATTTTTATAATTTTGTCAGCCATATTGAATCCGCCATTATGTTATTTCAAAATTAATGACTTTGAAAATCTCTATTTCCGAATTTTTATAAATTTGTCCGGCATATTGGATTCGCCAATGATTTTTCAAAATTCTAATTTTAATTCCTTAATAAGTGACATTGAAAAGAAATATACTCAAATTTTTATGAAAATATAATTTTTTATAATTTTGTGCGCCATATTGGATCCGTCATTTTGTTATTTTAAAATTCTAATTTCAATTTCTTAATAAGTGACTTCGAAAAGCACTATATCCAAATTTTTGTGAAAATTTAAAATTTTTATAATCTTGTCCGCCATATTGGACGTGTCATTTTGTTTTACAAAATTCTAATTTCAGTTTTTAAATCAGCGAGCCCTATATTCGAATTTTTATGAACATATAACAAGTTTTTATAATTTTGTCAGCCATATTGAATCCGCCATTTTGTTATTTCATAATTCTAATTTCAGTTTCTTAATCAGCGACCTAGAAAACCTCTATATCTGAATTTTTATGAAAATATATTTTTATAATTTTGTACGTCATGTTGGATCCGCCATTTTGTTATAATTCTAATTTCAGTTTCTTAATCAGTGACCTCGAAAAGCCCTAGATCCGAATTTTTATGAAAGTATTTTTTTATCATTTTGTCCGCCATGTTGGATCCGCCATGTTGGATCCGCCATTTTGTTGTTTCAAAATTTTAATTCAGGTTTTTAATTTTAAATTTTAAATGTTAGAAAATATAAGTGTAAGTACCCATCTTAACTATATTAAGAAAATATAGTAAAAAATTGGTTATTACATCTGGTGACACTAAGTGAATCACACACATTAAAAGCCTTTTACTATAGATGATTTCAACGGAAGACATCTTGAAGTTGCAAGATCATTGGAAGATCTTTGCGCCATCTATAAGTTTACATAATAACTAATAAAATAAAAAAGAAAACTGTAAATTATTATTTTGGCAATCTGTTTCAAGGTTACGCCGTCGGTATTCATTTTTTTTTCTTTTTTCTTTGTCTTCTTCATTAGTTGTATGTGCTCAGTTTTTCACCATCTCTATCTACTTAGTGCCAGGTCCCAGAGACTTCTTTTTCTTAGTCATGTGTCATGTCAAAATTTGTAAAAATATAAAAAAAATTGAGGTTACAATCTCTGGTTTTGTTTTTGAATTATTTTTTGCATTTATTTTCAAAATACTAGCTTAAAAACACAAAGAAAATGATGAAAAGTAAAGTTAAAAGGTAGGTGTGCACCTTTTGTTTACTACTTTAAATTTCAAAGTGAATAGATGTATTTATCATTGTTGGGTAATGCAGCCGACACCCATTAAAAAAGGTTTTAATTTAATAAAAATCAACCATAGAGACCTAACGCGCGCTTAGCAAGCCATGTAGATCTAGATTCCAGACCTTGGCGATATTGAGAGTAAAAACTGAGCCCATACAACTAAAGAAGAAGGCAAGAAAAAAAGAAGAAATTTATGCTGACGCCGCCGTAACTTTAGACAGATTGCCAAAATAATAATTTACAGTTTTCTTTTTTATTTTATTATGTAAACTTATAGATGGCGCAAATATCTTCCAATGACATTGCAACTTCTTCCGTTGAAATCATCTATTACATAAATAAAGTATCCCTAATAGATAGAAATAAAATATCAACTATTTTTTGTCGAAAATAAATTGTTAAAAATCATTCAAAAAACTCACCTAGCATCTCTGGGTAACGGGACTGGCTTTTTAGCAACTTCTTCACTTTTATCATCATCCTCATCATCGGTCCACGGGTTCATACTAAATTTAGGAACGCTAATCTTCTTCCTTCTGGTAGCAGGAACAGGAGGTTTATCCTCGTCATCATCATCGTCGTTGTCACTTTCGAACGGATTTACGCTGACTCTTTGAAACGAAGCATCTTTCATTGGACTATTGGTCGTCCCCGAAACAGAAATCTTCTTTTTAAACCTAGGACTTGGTATTGGTTTCCTTAGATAAACTTTTAAACTTTTCTCCTCATCTTCATCATCGCTACCGAACGGATTCAGCGAAGCTTCATCTTTGTTATCATCTTCATCGTCAAAGGGATTTAAATCATCCGGGTAGCTTTCTTTTTTTTCTAGAATCGGTTTATGTGTTACTTTCGAAGAAGGTTTTTCGACACTTTCTTTAGCTTTTTCGGGTACAGTTACAGTATCGCTTTGAACAAAAGTATTTACAGCTTCAACTGGTTCGGTCTGTGATACTTTAACACTGTAATTAACAGTTTCGATGATTTTATCTTCTTTTTCTATTAATTTGACGTTATAATTGACTGATTCAACTTTTTCTTCAATCTTCGGATCGTTGTCAACAGCTACTTTAACATTGTAATTGACAGTTTCAAGGGTTTCTTTATTTTCATCGATTACTTCAAGTTCATTTTCCACAAACGAAAATTTATTTGCTTCCGATGAAGATGAATCTTCTAGTCTTTGAGGTATTTCTTCTGTATTGTTTTTTACTATTTCCACATCGTCAATGTAAGAAAAATCATTAAACGAATCATTTCTGGTTTCGTTTTGTTCTGAAGAACTCTGAATTGAAATATGTTGTTTTGGAGACTCTGGTGTTTCTGGTAAATCAAATTTAGATAAACCGCTAGGCTCTGAGGAATCTTCTAAAGATATTATAGTAGAGTTAATAATTTCTAATGCTTCATCTATTTTGGAGGTACTACTTTCTAAAGAGTCTTCAATAGATATAACTTCTACCGAATTGTTCGGTGATGACGAAGAGTCTGATATGTTGATAGTTTGAGGTTTGGCTTCTACATCAGTATCTTCTTGGGAATGAGTTATCACATCAGTATCATTTTTACTTAAATTGAAGGATATTGAGCTGGTGAATTGCTTCTTAGGATGAATATCTTTGTCACTAATAACGTGGGACTCTTGAAGTCGTCTGTGCTTAGTATCATTTTTAACTTCACTTAAACTATTATCTACATTTTTAATACTAACTGGAATGGATGCTTTAGGCGACAGAGGCACTTGTTCGCTATTTACATCAGCCTTTATATCATTTTCGAATAAACGCATTCGAGCTTTTACTACAGACTCTTTGGTAACGACATTCTGAGATTCTACATTGTCACTAACACTACTTTTAACACTAAAGTCTTTGCTTGGAAAACCACTATCGTACTGGGAACTGCTCACTGGCGGTATGGTTAAAGGTAAGTCTGGAGGTTTTTCTTCTTTGCCTGACGATTCTTCATTGCCAGAGTCACCGGATTCCAGTATTTGACTCTGGAAGAAGTTTATCCTAGCCGAATCGAATTCTCTATTTAAAGTTTGTACTTTTTCGATGTCGGCGTTCTCCAGCGCCGTCTCGAACATCGCGCTGAATTCGTCAGGCTCGTTGCTGACTATCTTCAAACTCGCCGTCTTCTCTTCGTCGCTCATGCTGCGCTGCAGCACGGCGTTCTGCACCGACGTTTTGGACATTACCTTTTCTTCGTCGGGACATATTTCGCAACAGAACTCGTTATTTTCCGTTTCGTAGTAGTTGCCAAGGGTGAGTTGACTGCTGCAACGCGCGCAGCGGAAGCAGGTCCTGTGAAATAGGGATTTTCCAACGTTGAGGCGTTCCGCTATGAATACTGGTAGGCCACACTTGGTGCAGGGTTCTCTGCGGAGATTTTTCGCACCCGTGTAGGCCACCTGCAAAAGAAAAAAAAAACGCATTAAATTTTTGAGCGGGAGGTCAGAATGATTAATACAAGGTCTCCATCTATAAATTGACAAATTTCGATAACTTGTAACTGGAGAACGGAAATAGATATCGAGATGCAGTTTTCACTAAACTTCATAAATAATGTACGTTGACATTATTGCCACATGTAATTTTTTACTTGAAAGTGCAAACAAAAATTAACTTTTTTGAACCAAAAGACAAGGACCATCAGGAGCTGGAATTGCGGTGAACTGGGGCATGTACGCAGTTCGTGAAAACGCCCTAGGGTCCCAACAACTGAAGACAACACGCCGCAGGAAAACTAGAGCGGGTCGGCCTAGAGGGGACAGCTTCGACCCGAAACAGTTCCAAAGACCCTCTCATACTGATAGCCTCTTTGAAATGTCGCGATGATAGTGTATACGTAGACGGCGAAGTAAATGGTAAAAAGTATACACTATTGGTGGATACTGGAGCAACTAGGACCATTATACGACCAGCAACCATAAAGAACTGTAAGAGACTCCTACCAACAAGATTGCGACTGCGGACTGCCACAGGTGAAAGTGCCAACATCCATGAAGAATTCCAGGTTCAGTTGGGAATTGGTACAGAAAAGTTCACTCATACTGTTATTGTCGCTGATATCGAAGAAGATGTTATTCTTGGAATGGATGAAATGAACTTACATGGTTTCCAGTTGGACTTTAAAAACAGAGTGATCAAAGTTGGTACCGAAGGGGTATTCCTACATCCATATGGGACAGTACCGTGCCAGTTGCTGTACAGGAGGATACAGTGGTACCTGGCAGAAGTGAAACCATTATAGTAGCACGGCTTTAAGAAACTATGGAAGAAGGAACACCTGTCATGATGGAACCTTGGAAGAGGTTGGAGAGATGAAGAGGTTGGACGAGGTATTCTGATCAGGAAAGGGTTGGTCACGACTGCTAAAGAAATTCCAGTCCGTCTCATAAACGTTAATGATCACCCGATTACCATCAAGAAAGAGACCAGAATCGGAACTTGTGTACCAGTAACTTCCATAATTCGTCAGACAACAACTTCTGATAATTCCAATGACAAATTCAAACAAATGATTGCAGTTGCTGGTCAATCTCTAAATCAATTATGGAAGAAGAAAATAAAGGAATTTCTTTGGCGATATCGTGACATTTTTGTACCAAAAGGAGGAAAAACAGGAAGAACTTCTGTGGTAAAACACAAAATTGACACTGGTGGCGCCAGGCCGATTCGTCAATCAGCTCGAAGGTTACCAAAAGCCAAGAGAGAGGAAGCTGAAAGGATTATGTTCGGGAAATGAAGGAAGACAGGGCGATAGAACCTTCTACTAGCCCATGAGTCTCTCGAGTAGTCCTGGTCCAGAAAAAGGATGGAACTACGAGATTATGTGTGGATTACCGTCAGTTTAACAATGTTGAACAGTCTGGATACTGCCGGTGGAAATGGACCCAGTAGACAAAGAAAAGACAGCTTTTACCACCGGATCTGGATTGTGGCAATTCAATGTTATGTCATTTGGATTATGTAATGCCCCCGCGACATTTAAAAGACTTATGGAAAATGTATTGAGAGGGTTATCCTGGAAAACATGCTTGGTGTATTTAGACGACACCATAGTCTTGGGGGAAGACATTTGATGAATATCTAAAAAATTTAGAAGATGTTTTTAAAAGACTTCAAGCTGCCCAACTGATGCTAAATCCCAAGAAGTGCCAACTATTTCAAAATAAAGTTAATTACCTGGGTCATGTAGTCAGTCAGGATGGCGTGGCTGTAGATAAGGAAAAAGTCGCTTCTATCAAAGAGTGGCCACAACCAAAGGATAAACACCAAATAAGAAGTTTTCTTGGGCTTTGTACATACTACCGAAGATTAATCAGAAAGTTTGCAGATATTGCTAAACCACTAACGCGATGCACAGAAGAAGCAGGAGAATTCTGCTGAGACGAAGACTGCCAAACTGCCTTCGAAACTTTAAAGAAGCATTTAACAACAGCGCCAATATTAGGTTACCCACTACCAGAGGGAGAATTTATTCTGGATACTGATGCCAGTAATGTGGGAATTGGAGGAGTACTTTCACAGATTCAAGGGGGAAAAGAAAGAGTACTGGGTTATTTTAGTAAAAAGTGCTCTCGAAACCTGAGCGAAATTACTGCATCACGAGAAGTGAACTCCTGGCAGTTGTGAAATGCGTGGAACACTTTTACCAATACCTATATGGAAGGAAATTCTTAATCCGTATCGATCATGCCGCTCTTAAGTGGTTGATGCAGTTCAAAAAGCCGGAGGGTCAAATCGCCAAATGGATTGAACGACTCCAAGAGTACGACTTTAAGATCGAACATAGAGCTGGGATAAGGTACAGAAATGCCGATTCTCTTTCTAGAAGACCGTGTCCAGCAGAGTGCTCCCAATGCAACAAAGCGGAATCCAAAGAAAGTGGATTACTAAGAACAACTGTAGTTAACGATGAACGGGCCCCTGCTAAAATTAGGGAAGAACAAGAAAACGATACCGTTTTAAAGAAGATGAGACAATGGAAAGAGGAAAATCGTCGACCTACCTGGCAAGAAGTATCTAATCTCTCTCCAATACTTAAATCGTATTTGGCTCAGTGGGACTCCTTTATCCTGGAAGATGGCTTACTTAACGTGTACTTGAAAATGATGATGGTTCCGAGAACAGAAGACAGTGGGTCATTGCAAGAAGTAGAGTAGCTGAAGTACTCCTTCAGTTACACAACAGTCCATCAGGAAGGAAGGAAGGAAAACCCTTCAGAGAGTTCGGGAAAGGTTTTATTGGATGAACAATTCCGATGATGTAAAGGACTGGTGTAAGAAATGTACCAGCTGTGCTGAGTAATGGACCTCAGCGAAAAAGGAAGGCTGGCAGCCGAGGCGACGGAACGTTCAAGAATGCCGCTGACGCATTATAAATGGCTAGAACGGGCGGAGAATGCCGTTGAGTCAGAGATGGAATTTTCGGGACCGTCTAGAGTATTCCGGTTACAGAGTTGGCTTAATATAAATATCGCGAGTTTGAAGACGGCAGTCAGTTGATTATAGACAGTTTAGTATAGAGCATTGTAATGAAAAGTTAAAATAAAAAATAAATTAGAATTGTTAGTTAGTGTCTAAGTATTAAATAAATTCAATAGTACGTCATAAATAAATTGTAAATAGTGTGTTTTGAATAAATAAACTATAAATAAATTAGACTATCATCACATTTATAAATAGGTGCGGGTATAAATATATTGATTTATTAGTTTCCTTGTATGGTATACTTCTACTCAAGGGCGGCTCGTAACCAAAATTTTGGGGATTCACAGTAGCAGAATATAGATCCCGGTACAGATATATGTAAAAAACTGTCAGTGTTTTAGAAAGTATATTATAAGCTTTGTAAAACACTGAAAGTTTTTTTCATACATCTGTACTGATACCTATATTCTGTTACTGTGAACCAACCCACGAGTCGCCACTGCTTCTACTTAACATTTTTCCGATGTTGTCCTTCGCCTTGGTACCAATTCTAACGAGTTACCGTGCCATCAATTGATATATGTATCATTATTTTTTGGTGTATGTATTTCACACATACCTACTATTTAATTTCTTACTTCCTTAAGGTATTTAGTTATGAATTCATCATAAGCTGTGGGATAAATCTTTATGGTTTACTTCTTAAACAATAAGTTTGATGAAGTACACACCTGTTTCATTCGCCATAAGCCCTCAATCTGAATTGAAAAAAAGTTATTTTTAATTAGAAATTTTAAACTGGGCAACCGTGTTAGAATAAAATTGAAACATTTCTAAGAATTTCAGTTAAAAGCTAATTAACGAGTTATAATTGTTAAAATGTGATATCTTACGTTTGGATGTTTTAACATGGCATCTAAAAGTAAATGTTTCCCAAAAAAAGTTTCATCAATTAACAATTTGAGGAAACTAAAAAAAAAGAAAAAGAAAAACTGTACGTGTAAACATTTTTTTTGAACGAGAAGTTAGTCCAAGATATTAATGCCATCTGGCGTTATATTATTGAACTAACTTTTCTCTTTTAACAGTAAATTCACGATTTTGGTTCAAATAAGATCATTTTTTCGGCACTTTTCAGAAAAAAACTACATGTGGCAACAATGTCAACAAAAGTACATTTATGTCTATTGAAAATATAGATGGATACCTTGTATTGTATGGGTATATATGTGTTAATTTATTGGGTGTGTAGTTGCATAATTGAAAAAAAAAACTGATTTTTTACAAACCTATAATTCTTCCAAATGTATTTATGAAAGTTATACATACATGGTGTTTCAAAAAGAAAAACATGGTATAGATTCAACACTTAAGTGTATTACTTAAATTTGAGCTATAAGAAGTTTAGAATGGTTTTATAGATTTAATAGTATTGGATATTTTGAATCATTATCTAAATATAACTATGATTGGGGGCATTCTAATTAAATTTGGAATATATAAGTTCATGAATAAAAAATCAGTTATTTTTTTAAACATTAACATTTAAATAATGAACAATTAAAAATATAAGCATGCATGACCAAATTAGGATGAATGATTTACCTTTAACAAAAAATTTCAGGTTTGTATTGCCCGATAATGTCCAAAGTTTCTTCCTATGAAAACAAAAAAATAAACAGTGTGGGTCAAAAAGAAAGCTGAAGCTTCAATCATTTTTTGCGGATCTTTGTGCAATGTAACTAGGAAAATCTAATTCACTTACTTGTTTCATACCGATGTAATATATATTTTTATAACTGGTTTTGTTTTAAAAATATTTTTGCATGTACCTAATTATTATTTTTGATATTTAGATAAAGTTTGTTACATGAAGTTATAATCTCATTAGGTTAAAGGAAAATACTATTGCAAGGGATCTGGCGAAGAGGACTGAAATAGGATGATAAGATCACTATAGACCAAGACCTAAAATG